TGAAACAATGGTTTCGGTTAACGAACGACCTTCTGGAACGGATTGAGTTCGTTAACCAAGGGGTCACTGTACATAAGGTTAAGGGTTAAATATATATTTTACAAAATGAATTCAAACTACGAAGGTTGTTCTACCATCTGTTACTTAAGTTAAATCATTAAGATCATTATGCAGACTTCATGTGGGTGGGAAAGACTTATTTCTTAATACAGTGGTCCCTCTGTTAACGAGCGCCTCGGTTAACGAGATTTCAGTTAACGAGTTACCTTCCATAAGATTCTTAACTTCGGTTAACGAGCAATCACTCGATTAACGAGTTTCTTACTAGCCGACCTCCACATGTTTTAGCTTGCATTTGGCGGTCCACCAGCTGCAGTATTAGTCCGCCAATACAGTAATCGGTTCTAGGGCTTAAATTCCTTACCCTTTTAGTAAATATCAAGAAGTTTATACTATTCAATAAATTTAAAAGTTTAATATTAAATTTTTTAGTTATTTTAACAATTATTGAACATAATTGAAGGTAGGGTCACTAGTTTGTGGCACGCCATCCAGCCTGCCAACACAGCATACAGGCGTCAGTCTTTGTGTCTTTTCAGTGGAGGTAACATCTTGCTTGAGACTCTTCAACTAAATGCTTTTTTCTGTGTTTACAAGTAAATTATTGGTAATTTTGAAATTTATTTTACATGTTGACAATATATAATGCAGTGCAGTGTTGATTTAAAGAAAACAATCTTGAATTACACCAAGAGAACTAAAATTTTATGGGTGAAATGGCGCCATGGGGTGACTTCTCTTCCACCCCAATGCCTTCTCCTCCACCCCCATTCTAATTCCCATCATCATCCAGGAGCCTTCTACATACACACCTCAAAGTAAGTGTATTTTTATACCTTTTTTGTTGAATTTAGGTAATTTTCGGTGAGCTGGAACCAATTACCCAAAAACCCATTGAAACAATGGTTTCGGTTAACGAGCAACCTTTTAGAACGGATTGTGCTCGTTAACCGAAGGACCACTGTACATGAAAGTAACTTAAAATTTTTGCGTAGACTTTGTGCATTTTTTTCTGGAAGAAGGTCACAGTTCTTGACCATGTCCACCGTCAGTGTCTCCATCATCCAAAATATGTCCACCATCTTGACTGATTCCACCACCTTCACTGAGTCCACCACCTTCACTGAGTCCACCACCTTCACTGGGTCCACCACCTTCACTGAGTCCACCACCTTCACTGAGTCCACCACCTTCACTGAGTCCACCACCTTCACTGAGTCCACCACCTTCACTGGGTCCACCACCTTCACTGAGTCCACCACCTTCACTGAGTCCACCACCTTCACTGAGTCCACCACCTTCACTGGGTCCACCACCTTCACTGAGTCCACCACCTTCACTGGGTCCACCACCTTCACTGGGTCCACCACCTTCACTGAGTCCACCACCTTCACTCTGGAGTCCACCACCTTCACTGGGTCCACCATCTTGACTGATTCCACCACCTTCACTGAGTCCACCACCTTCACTGAGTCCACCACCTTCACTGGGTCCACCACCTTCACTGAGTCCACCACCTTCACTGAGTCCACCACCTTCACTGAGTCCACCACCTTCACTGAGTCCACCACCTTCACTGGGTCCACCACCTTCACTGAGTCCACCACCTTCACTGAGTCCACCACCTTCACTGGGTCCACCACCTTCACTGAGTCCACCACCTTCACTGAGTCCACCACCTCTCACTGGGTCCACCACCTCTCACTGGGTCCACCACCACCGAGTCCACCACCTACTGGGTCCACCACCTTCACTGAGTCCACCACCTTCACTGGAGTCCACCACCTCCACTAAGTCCACCACCCTTCACTGGGTCCACCACCTCACTGAGTCCACCACCTTCACTGGGTCCACCACCTTCACTAAGTCCACTCAATTTCACTGGGTCCACCACCTTCACTGAGTCCACCACCTTCACTGGTCCACCACCTCTCACTAAGTCCACCACCTTCACTGGGTCCACCACCTCACTGAGTCCACCACCTTCCACTGGGTCCACCACCACTGGGTCCACCACCCCACTAAGTCCACCACCCTTCACTGGGTCCACCACCTCCACTGGGTCCACCACCTCACTGAGTCCACCACCTTCACTGAGTCCACCACCTCTCACTGAGTCCACCACCTCCACTCGAGTCCACCACCTCTCCACTGGGTCCACCACCACTGGGTCCACCACCTTCACTGGTCCACCACCCTCCACTGTGGTCCACCACCACTGAGTCCACCACCTTCCACTGGGTCCACCAATTCACTAAGTCCACCACCTTCACTGAGTCCACCACCTTCCACTGGAGTCCACCACCTTCACTCAGTCCCACCACCTCACTGAGTCCACCACCACTGAGTCCACCACCTTCACTGGGTCCACCACCTCACTGGGTCCACCACCTCATCTAAGTCCTAATGCCAATTTTCTACTTGAATCACCAATTTCACCGAGTCCACCACCTTCACTGAGTCCACCACCTTCACTGAGTCCACCACCTTCACTGAGTCCACCACCTTCACTGAGTCCACCACCTTCACTGAGTCCACCACCTTCACTGAGTCCACCACCTTCACTGAGTCCACCACCTTCACTGAGTCCACCACCTTCACTGGGTCCACCACCTTCACTGAGTCCACCATCTTGACTGAGCCCACCAATTGAGTCCGCTTGATATGGGCTTGAAGTGTCTTTTCTATTCAGGAACACTTGAACCGGCAACAGTTTTCTGAAGCAAAATATATTGGTGTAGATAATTTTTTCCCATGAAATATATAATTGTTGTAGATTTTTACTATACCGGTACTGTATATTTGACAATTGAAAATGCATAATACATTATATATAAAACAGGAAACAAAACGTATGCACATTTAATGTACTTACAATACAGTATATGATCTTCGTACGTTCTAGCATTCTTGATTTGACCGCCTAATCCCGGTAGATTTATTGTTGGACGTGAGTGCAGCTTTAAAGAAAGCTTTACATTGTCTACTGCTAAATGGTAATTAAAACTTTCAGATTTAAAATGCACTGAACATATCGTATGCCACGCCTTCACTTGTTTGGTGTTCTTTATTTCTTTTCTTTTACAGGCATCTAGCCACTTTGCCCGTAACTTTATGTCCTGAGGGAATGAATAAAAAGATACAAACTTTTTCTTCTTTTCTGAGTTGAATTTGCAGATGGCTACAGAGCAATAAATCATTGTTATAAAAGAAAAACACTCCACTTTCACTTGTAAATATCCCGCTTCTACTGTTTGATGTAACCAAGTGGGCGGAGCTTAATAAGTGATGTCATCGCTAGCCAATCAGCGACGTTGGATTGAATCCAGCGGTCACAAGCGTCACAAGAAAGATATTTATATTTATTTTATATATTTATTCTGTGGCTCCAATTAAAATAAAACAACAAATCTCCATTCCATACATTTATTGTACAACTTTTAACACCATCATAAGCCTTCAAAAATACGTAAATAAAAATTTCAATTTTATTTTCATTAGCGTAGAGCCTATGGGAGTGAGACTACCTGGTATCTACCTACCTTGGGTGTGAGAGGGTGGCGGGCAGTCGTGTAGTGTGCCCAGAGACGTTAGGCGCGGAATTTAAAATAAGATGTATCGGATGACTCGCGCAAAATAGGAAAGATTCGCTTTAAATTAAAACAGTGTCCTTAATTGTGGGTGTCGCTTTAAACCAATAATCTTAAATTGAATCGCTTTAAATCGACGTTCTACTGTATAATGGTATTATTCTTACCTTAATTTCTTGAAAATTTCTCAAGAATTGCAGCTATTGTAGTGTTCATGATTTTGAACAATGATTTAGATCAGTTGTGTAATTGTGCATATTATAAATGTTTATTTGACAGCTGGACGGGATCGAAAAAATTCTTTCTCGGAAATTTTAGCGGCCCATCTCCACCCCGTCTTTAAATGTAGAAGACCCAGAAGCAATGGTCACTAGATTTGTATCTATGTTGTGTATGATTGAAAAGTTATTGATATTGATGCATAATATTTAACTGTACAAGTATTAAGTTACAGGTAAAGTAGGCACTTGTTATTTAAAGGGAACTGATATCTTTTGGCAGCTGCTGTAACAACACAGAGAGAATCTGTGTTGCAGGTGAGGGCTTGCATGAGTAGAGAGAAAGTGAGATCACCTGAAGATCAGACACCCCAGCTTATATCATCTAAAGAGTAGAGTAACGATGCTACCTGCGGAAGGTTTGGTTACATTAGGGTGTCAAAATACAATTGCTGTATCTCAAAAATGTAACAGAATGGTGCAGTTGGGAGTCAAATTAATAATATACTATGTGATGGCAGAATGTGACAAAACTACATTGAATAGTGTGGTTGCTAGTGTAATAAGCTGAGGTGTTTAATCTTCAGGTAATCAAGAAAGCTTACAATAATAAGTACGAGATTTCCAGACTCCTTATTTGTTCAGTTTAATTGTTACACTAGGAAGAATTTAGTCACTGAGGATGCAGAGAAATATAGGTGGTACAGTATAAACAAGAGTGAAGGCAAAGAATTTAGTACTGTAACTGTAAACACTAAATTTTTTACTCTTGGAAGTTCTTATTCGTATATAGTACAGTATTTATTTATTGATTGTTCTCAAGTTGTATTACATGTGTTAGGGAAGTTGGAAAGAGTGGGGGAGTACGGCGAGTTTGTCACTCATAAGCTGGACATCTCGTATCAGGTCGCATTAAGTGTTGGCCTTTTCCATCTGTCCATTCGTCAGGTTAAGGTTATTCAACTTGCCAGGGACATAAGTTTAATAAGAATTTTCTAGTTTATTAATGAATGAAATGCTTTAGAATATTTTAAGATTCAAAAGTTCATTTTAAAGAGTTTTAATGTGTTTCAAAACCACCAATGTAAGTTTAAAAGATTCACAGTGAACATTTTATTTGTTTTTCTTCCAGCTTGTAGGTTTCTTCATTGCTAAACGTTATCGTCATCAAGTAGACCCAAGAGCAAACATTCAAAGCCTGCTTCGACAGTGAGAATCACCAGTTTGAGAAATGTCCACATCGTTTGAATACACGACGTTAAGATGACCGCGATGAGATGCCGTTTTTGCTGTTTTCTTGTCTTGAGTTGTATCAGTAGTATGGAATTATCTTCCAGTGTTCATTATTGTAACACTTTAAGTTGGGCTAAAGTGTGACAAAAGGGTAATATTTGAGATTGATTCCCCTTTGTCACATTATAATGTCCTAAGTTTTCTGATGGTAAGTGTCTGTGTGCTTATTCTTAACTTCATTTTATAGAGTGCAATGATAGCTATCCCACTGGTGGATTATATTAATGTTTCTTTCTGCAGTGGTTACCCCATTAGAGGGGAGATCTAATGGCATAAGGTGTTACAGATAAGATAGGAAGTTTAGCTTATTGTAGCAAAGTTCATTTTATAGAAATTAGAAAATGGAAGTATAGTACGGTAAACCCTATAAGATCCGGACCGGGGAAATCCGGATTTCGGAAGATCTGGACAAAAAAATTGGGGGTGCTGGGCTAAGAAGCCTCCTAGAAGTTTTCCTAAGAAGCTTTCCCAAACCAGAGCAAAGAACACTTTAGGCCCGTGGGCGCTGCTTGACCAGTCGGTTGCTTGGACACAGGTGCCCGAGGAGGTGGGAAACATAAACCTAGTGGACAATTGTTGGTTGTGGTTTATACAGTATTGTATATGGTAATTTGTTTATCACTACTGTATTTTTGGCGTTTCTTATATCATTTATTATTCGGCGAAAAATCCGGACAATCGGCTTTTGCGGACAGGTGGCCCCCCCTTTTAGTCGGGATCTTCGAGGGTTGACTGTACTGTATTAATAGCCTTTCTTGACATCCTCTCTGTCTCGTGTAGATTAACAACTTGTACTATGCCATACGGTAGTATTTACAGTGGTCCCTCGATTAACGAACGGTTCGATTAATGAAATTTCAGTTAACGAATTGGCTCCCAAAAGGATTTTCAGTTCCATTAACGAACAAAACTTCGATTAACGACAGCCTTACGAGAAATGCGCTTTGTTGTGCGCATCCGCTGGTCATCCAATACGGTAATCTGTTCTATGTTTACATTCGTTTCCAGTGGAGTAAATGTAAAGAAAGTTGTGCTCTTGAATATTTTTGCATTTATTATATTAAAATTATTGGTCATTCTGAAATTTAGTTAACATATTGATAATATACAGTGCAGAAATTATTATGAAACAGGAAGAAGGCATTAGAACTAATGCACTCTGTAAAGAATATGGCATGTCATCATCGACTGCCTCTACCATCAGCTGTTTGATATGTAAACAAAGCTGCCAGGAATACGACATACACGCCTCAAAGTAAGTTAAAATACAGTATTCTATTGTTTTTTTTATTTATTATTGTACAGTACACTACTGTGTTTAGATTATATTTAATGTTTTGTTAATTCAATTACTGGTATACAGTACTTTGTATGTACTGTATACTTTTTCTGAGAGTTGGACCAATTACCCAATATCCCATTGAAATAATAGATTCAGTTAACAAAATTTTCGATTAACAGCCAGCTGTGTGGAACCAATTGTGTTCGTTAATTGAGGGTCCACTGTACTACAAGATGTACACCATCAGTTTCATTTACTAACTAAGAGAGAAATTAGCATGTTAGGAATTTCAAGAGTTGAATATTAAAATTTAGTTTTATATACAGGTTAAATATTTTAGATATATTAAATTCTCTGATGATTGCAGTTTATAGTTTACTGTAGTGCAATATATAAAAATACCTCTGAAATAATTTTGTAGTAGAAAGGTATTGTGTTATGTATTATATATTTGCATCCTGAAAGTTTCATAAATATCTATTTTTTACGAATGGTCATCAATTAAGTTTACACACATCAGTAATCGTGTTCATATACTTCTAGCTCAGGTGGCAAAGATATTTCCATGACCCATTGCCTGGCACCTTGCAATTTTCACCTGTCAGCCATGTTGTCGACCTGAATCCTGATGTGGATATACTGTATTGAATACAGTGTATTCTCATTAAGGTGTGATCAGGGGATTCCAGTCCAGATTTCAAAAATGACTTTGATGTATTTTGGAAAGTAACTTGGTGAGTAACTCATCAGTATTTGATTTTACAACTGAATACCTCTATTTCAAATGCCACATGTTATAATTTATTAGCAGTTTTACTTCCTTTGTACTGATATTCATTCTCTTATTTCCCTAGTAATGAATTTCACATTAGATAATTTGTCTAGTTTTCATTATTAACATTCCAGGTGTAGTGATCATCACTGGCGTAGTATATCTCTTTCTTATTTTGCTGTATGCTACGTAAAGTAGAAATGTAACATGCAAGATGTAAATAGTTGCCTTTTAAGCAGACAAAAGTGGGGGTACTCTAGGAAGTTGATAGGTTACTTAAAATATTTGTGTGAATATTGTTGTGTAACCTTCACTTTATTTTTAACTTAACAAGGTGCCAAGTATTATTCTCATTACTACTGCCACTCCACTACAATACCCTACACTGCTCTCATCACCTTGCATAACCACCACCATCGCCTGACACCATCACCACTTACACCAGTACCCTACCTTAACTGACACCCAACTCCACTACCAACACTACACCAATACCACCACCAACACTACACCAATACCACCACCAACACTACACCAATACCACCACCACCACCACTCCAATACCACCACACCAATACCACCACCACACCCATACCACCACCACACCCGTACCACCACCACCCCCCTACATCAACAACCTTCATCACCAACATAAGTCCTACACCATCACCACCAAGCTACACCATTGCCTTACACTACCACCACTGCACTTACTTATAACCAAACTCTACAATACCACCAACATAAATATCACCACAGACTGTGTATTAAGATGTTTATTTGTGTTCCTGTAGAAAGTTTCAATTAGTATTTACTGTATATGATGACAGGTTCAATGAAAGCTTCTTATAGTGGACATGCCCAGGGATTTTGTTCTTAACCAGATGCCAGCCAAATTGACCAATTTATAGCTAATGTCCTTGCAGGTCAGTTCAAATTATTCATAGAACAAAATTGTTGATGGGGTCTTGGTTATTCTCTTTGGGCCTTCTACCTAAGCTTTTTGCAAAGTGTGCTTGCCTTTAAAGTCTCCTTGTAATTTATTTTATTTTATTCCATAATTTGGTGTTTAGGATCATATTGTATCCCATTGTCCTGTATGGCTTGCATGAAAAAATGTGTTCTATCATACCATACATAGAAAAGTATAAGCACGTATACAGCATATTTAATCTAAGTTAACTCAAAATTTGAATTAATAATGATCATGGTATATCCTGTGATAAAGCTCTCTTATGGGGTAAAGTAGTATACAAGTGTGTTTATAAAAACACCACTTGGTTAGAGAGATATTTGATAATAATATTCTAGCATTGCTAAATTTATAAAGATATACGTAATTATAATTTAATCTACTTTACTGTCTCCAAAAGATGATTTATGTAATACAGTAGTCTTCACTACAGTACTTGAGCGTACAGTATTTGTTCTGGTTTCTTTGTATATTTCTGCAAGGTTTTTCTTAATGGTTCAATAGTGATTATTTATAAGAACTACAATAGTGTTTGGACCAAAACCTTAATGGATCAGATTTGATGTGCCTGATTGACAGTACTGCTGAAATATTTTAGTAACAAGTAGAACATTGGAAGTCTTTAATTAATCATCTGTCATTAAGTGACCTTGATTTGATTTTCAGAGAAATTATTTGTCTTTGTGTCCCTTTGTAGTCCTTTTTTGTAGGTGTTTTAAGTTTGAAATTAGAAAAAACAAATATTTGGCAATTGTGAATGTACAGTCGGCCACAGGAATAAGTATACACACTGTTGCTGTAAGGTCCAAAAATGGTCCAGTAACGTTGAAACTGCGCATCCAGATGCAAGGTGAAACTCGGCTCTCCCCACCTGTTATCTCTAACTATCCAAACATCAGTAAAAAAAAGTAGGGTAAGAGAAAAAGTGGAGGAGGGAGCTGTACGATAACTGCAACCCCATTGGGCAACAAGTTTACTACCATTGGATACAATATATTACAAATGTATTTGTAACATATATTTAGGAATAAAACATAACTTACAGGTCATTTTGTAATTTTGTCTGTTCTGTTCAGGACTGTGTTACCAGATATTTTGTCTCAAACACGAACCATAGGTGTATGCCTATTCCTGTGGCCGACTGTACATCCTGCCATGGTACAGTATTTGTTTGTCCAAGATTCAGAGTGCTTATACAGGGTGCATTAGTACCTGTTGTGTACGTCCAACTTCCCAGATTCTTTGTTAAGCCGATATATCCTGCACGCTCAGACGTCTAGGTAATAGCGACATCCTGAATTGTGGGGTTTCTGTAATGTATGCGAATTCATATAATCGGTTGTTCTTCATTATTTTGGACAACACAACTAACTATTTAGTAAGTTTTGACCCAATACTTAATCATTGTCTGCTCATGCGTGTTGGCAGTATCACATTCCTTGAAGACATACTGTGTTAATGGTGTAGGTAACTACCTGTACTGAAGTTCAGTCAAGTGGACTAGTATGCTTGTCAGCAGGGCCGTCCCTAGGGAGGTGCGGGGCCCCACCAACCCCCATGGGACTGTCGCTATGGATGGTAAGGTCACGGTTGCGATGGTGGCGTAAGCCGTCAGGTCAGATTAACCAGTCAACAGGTAATGTGTCCGAGGTCACTGGGTCTAGTGCTGGCCCTCGGGCTGTCGCCCCCCCCAAAGGACGGGCCTGCTTGTCAGTTTGTGTTGAGTAAGTTAATAACACGAAAATGTCCATATATCTTCTCCAGAAAACAAATGTATAATGTTCTCATAAATTTGTAATGTCATACATTACAAACATAACCTGTGAGTATTATGTTTACATACAAAAATTAAATGTTATTAGACAATCAAGTTTTACATTTGTTGTTATGCTTGAACTGGTATGTTGTGTAAGTATATTTTGAATATATAACAAATGATTCCTGAGGTACAGTAGTTTGATATGAGCTTATCAATAGTTAGTGTTAGTTGTTTATTGGGGATTTGTTTGTGGTGGTGCTTCCCATCTAATACTTTTTGGGGGTTTGTTATGGGTAAACTTTGTTGAAGAAAATCCAGTACTTGCACTGTCTTTGTTTTTTGTTTTATTAGAACAGTAATTTTGTCCTAAGATATTGAGACTTCACCAAGAGCAAGAATTTGGATTTATGATTTTGTTGTTGTCATGAAAGTATTATTTAATGTGATGGATCTTATTATTTTGTTTGGAAGAAGAATGTTATAAAGATCTGCTTTTAAATCTTGGAAGTTACTTTCTTAGGTGCTTAAAAGCAAACTGCTACCTGTTCGGTGGATACATTGTGTATATACCTCTAGTCATTAAACTGTAATTCACTTGTATTGGTTTGGAGCCACACGAACAATTTAATAAACACTTACAGTTGGTCCTCACATTAAGCGGTCTCGCATTCCGCGTTTCACCGTTACCGCGGTGCCTTGCCAGAACCTAACAATTCACATTCCGCGGTCGCGAACGCCATTACACGGAGAGTGTCCGGCGCGACGCTATTTTTAGATTTTCCCCACGCGCTGCCCGCCTCACTTTCCGCGGGACCCTCCGGGTTACATTAACCGCGTAATGTGAGGACCAACTGTACTTACTTGGCATCTTTATATTATTGACCTGCATCTGTCACTTAATCTGTTCGCATCACAAATTAAATGAAGTTGTTTATGTTGGGAGATTATGTATTACTGTGTTTAAAGATAACATGAGTGAATGGTATGTAAGCATTAATTTTTAGAGCATTTACCTCTTAGAAGATGGTCATATGTTTGTGATCCCTCCCTGGACACCTATGCAAATTTTATTGTGGCACAACCCTTTGGTGGACTAGTATTTTCCCAAAGAAGTGGGATAACTCGCCAGTATCACTCCTTTCGAGGAAATG